TATATGTACATTAGTTAGCCCTAGTAGTTTTGAAAATATTAGATCATTTAAGCTCTCAATTGATAAAGTATAAAGAACAGTTAGATAGTGTGTTTGATCAGTCCAGAACGGACATGTTCGTGGAGTCTTATCCGTGGTTGTGGCTGTCATTGGCAGCAATAAATAAGTATAACAATCTGTGTATATATATAGAAAAACCTATTATTTCAGTACATTTCTTACTTGGGGTGGTGTCTTGCATGGGACTTTTGTCCCGTTCACACCTCTACCTATTGGTTTGCTGTTTATTTTATTACTATTGTATAATTATTTATATGATGTATATATAATAGCTTTATTGAATATTGATCTTGCAAAAAGAATATATATATATATATATATATATATATATATATATATATATATATATATATATATATATATATATATATATATATTTATATATATATATTCTTTTTGCAAGATCTATAAAGCTGTTAAATCAAAAATCAAATCAAATGTCAATTATATTTATAGGATGCTTTTTATATAGTCGAGTATAAATAGTAATCCATTTTTTTTCTGTGTTGGTGTTGTGTACTCAAGTGAATATGATGTTTGTGCAGGCCTGTCAGAGAAATTTGGGGGCCCGGGGCAAAAACCACCATGGGGCCCTTTCCCTATGTGCACAGTTTACTCCCACCTTATTGCACTGTATCTACTTTTATCTACCGTACAAAGGTGTAATTTGTTTAAAACAATTATTTGCTAGTTTTTGCAGAGGAATAAAATTTCAACAAGTTAAAAGTATACTTTACAGATTAAGTTCTTTGTATGTTTGCATGGCGATAAAATATGATAGTTTTGTTTGTGGAAACACCACGTAAATTTATTACTGCAAAGGTTTTGATCCGTAAGCCCATGCATTATGTGCGTATTTTACAGATTATGTGCGTATTTGAATGCAGACAAGTGAATAACAACTTCATGGTTATTTTTTCCTTTATGTCACGCTCATATGACAAAATGTTTAAACTATTGTACCATAACTGTACATAAATTTTCAAAAGTGAGGAAATTTCAGCAAGCTAAAAGTGTACTTTACGTGCACTTTTGAACGCAAGCGAGTTGATAACTTCATCATAGTTAATTCTTCTTGAAATGTCACCCTCGATGATAAGACTTGACATGTGTTCCTGCCCCATTGTGGATCTTCGACAGTTCTTAACTGTACTAAGTTTACTATAAAGGTAGAACAACACAAACTTGAGGAAAAATTGTTTGAAGACCTTTCTCATATATCGTATTCAATAATGCAATGGAAGATAGTTTTCCGCTATTCCGCTTAAACTATTGCTTCGTTTCAACCAATCCAAGAGGCGCATTTCTTCCAAAAGTTCTTTTTCATTTAAGTCATTTGGATAAAATTTTGAAAGATCTTTGCAATGAATTTCTATCCGTCTTCCTGTTGTTTCGCTGTTTGTGTTGGAGACTTTTGAGGAATTCCATATAAAGGAAAACTTGTCGTTTACATGTTTGGTTTTTTCAAATCTGCGTGCTATTTCAGCAAATTACTCTATCCAAAGCAACATTAAACACATTAATTTGGAATTCTCTTTCCTCATTGTGCTGGTCATGTTCACTATCTCTGGGTTCATCATGAAATCGTATGGGAGTTTTCCGCCTTGTTTCTTTAAAATGCTTATTTAAACCAAGAGAAGCAGCAACAAGCTCTGATTCCTTGTAGATCAAGCTCTAAGGTACTCTTATGCGTTTCAAATCGTCTTGCAGTGACTCGATCAGACGCAGTTCTTCGTCAGCGCTGATCTTTGAAGCTTGAAGCAAAACGCTAACATCATTTATAGCCTGTAATACCTTAAACCAAAAGGTTATAAGTACGAAAAACTCAAGTGATTGCGACCATTGGATTAGGTTATTGACATCATCAGACACTTCACCACACAAATCATGATCTTTCAATCTTTTCAATGCATCCATAATTTCTCTTGCTCTCTTTGCTGAGGGCTTGACTGCCTCTATTCTTGCACTCCAACGAGTAGTAGATAACCTGTGTAGAGATATACCAACAGCCTCTTGCAAAATCCTCTAACGTGAAAGACTACCGCTGAACAAATTGTATAACCTCTGGATATTTCCAAAGAAGCTTTTTCTGTGTACTGCACATAGATTAAGACTATGTGCACTAAGTAAGTAAGTAAGTAAGTAAGTAAGTAAGTAAGTAAGTAAGTAAGTAAGTAAGTAAGTAAGTAAGTAAGTAAGTAAGTAAGTAAGTAAGTAAGTAAGTAAGTAAGTAAGTAAGTAAGTAAGTAAGTAAGTAAGTAAGTAAGTAAGTAAGTAAGTAAGTAAGTAAGTAAGTAAGTAAGTAAGTAAGTAAGTAAGTGAGTAAGTAAGTGAGTAAGTAAGAGACTTTATTTATAGTGGATGACACTTGACAGTACGAATACTGATAACTCCGTGGTCCTCTGGTAACATTATTCTTACAGTATTTCTAAGTCTAAGGATATTGAAATATATACATGAAGTGAAAAATCATTATAATAACTAAAAAATTAAAGTCAATTGTTTTAAGTGTTTTAGAATTAGAAGTTGTTGAGCATCTAAAAAGTCCTTGTATAATCTGTGTTTAAAACTATATAGGCTTGCAGAATTCCTGATTTTTATATTAATGGTATTCCAGTCTTTGATAGCCCTCACTACGAATGTTTTTCCGCCTTCCCTTATTCGGTTGTATTGGGGACATATCATGTTAATCTTGGAATTACGTTTCTCGATTGTGAATGTCAGAATTTCTCACCAGCATAGAATTAATATATATAATATAATATATATATATATATATATATATATATATATATATATATATATATATATATATATATATATATATATATATATATATATTTATATTATATTGTAACCCAGAGGTCGCCGGTTCGAATCCGACTCGGTCTCAGCTTTTCCTGTTCACTAAAAAATACTTACCTACGGTGATTAACATATATATATATATATATATATATATATATATATATATATATATATATATATATATATATATATATATATATATATATATATAGGACAGTTGTATGAGTCTTTTACACGTTTATATACTATACTACTTCTTCTAATAAATAGTTCATCAGTGAAAGCAATCCAATTTAACCCATTGAAGAGAGTTTTCGAAGGCGTTGTCTTTTCCGCGCTTAAAAAATCTTGCTGCCCTCTTTTGTAGTTTCAGTATTCTGTCAAGATCTTCTTTACTGCAGCGTGACTATACAGCACTTCCATACATAAGCTTCGGTTTAATGATCCCATTATAATAAATTTCTCGTTGTTGTTTTTTTAAGTATGGACTGATGTGTTTCAGCAGACCGAGTCGTTTTGAGATCTGTTTACATAGACTGTCAATATGATCTTCGTATGCTAAATCTTGATCTATTATAACACCAAGGAGTTTTTTACTTTCTACTTGGGATACTGTCGTACTTCCTAAAGCGAGATCCATTTGAAGATGTTCATCTGGTATTTTCTTCCTTAAACGCTTTCCGGTAACAAGCATAGATTTGGTATTTTTTGTATTGATAACCATTTTGTTGTTAATGGACCAATTACATATACTATGGAGATCTTTTTTCATGTCTTGAACCATAGAAGGGATATTTGACCATTGTGTAGGCTACTAGCTGATAACATTGCATTGTATCATCTGCAAATATATCTAAGTTCGAATTTAAAACATGAAGGGGAATATTGTTGACAAACAGAAGGAACAATATAGGGCCCAATACAGATCCCTGAGGTACGCCATGTGTTACAAATTGTGGTCGAGATTGTTTACCGTCAATTGTAACGAATTGCGAGCGGTTGGTAAGGTACGATTTAAACCATTGAAGGGTAGACTCACTAGCTATGTATAATTTGAGTTTCTTTAGCATAATTAATGGTTCACAATGTGAAACGCCTTTTTAAAGTCTATAAACAAGACGCCAGTAACATTATCTTGATCTATGTTTGACAATATTTGATCAGTAAGTTTTATCGACGCTGATTCTGTAGAATGACCTTCTCGAAATGCGGATTGTAGTTCATATAATAAGTTGTTGTTTACAAGATAGTTCATTAAGGATTTGGCCACGTGTTTTTCGAGAATCTTCGACAATACGGATAATACTGATATTGGTCGGTAGTTATTACTCTGATCACATTCTCCATCTCTATAAAGGGGGGTAACACGAGCCATCTTCCATGCCGATGGAAATGTATTGGTGGCTATCGAGTAAGTTAACAATTGCTGCTTGAGCTCCATTGTATATACCCCAGCCATATTTGCACCATTGTCATACCCTTGACATCTGCAGATTTTAAACTCGATGTCATGTTCTTTGAGTACTTACGACAATATCCCTTCCTTTCTTTTGATCACAATCTTCCATTCTCAAAAATCTTTCACAGATCTCCCAAACGTCATCACTTAAATTCACGTATCTTAAGAGGAATGTTATTTGTTCTGTGTGAGAAACATCCGGGGTACCATCAACAATGATGCTGTAGTACATTGCTTGTTTAATTTAACTTCTTCCACAATAGCACTGAGAACAACTTTAGAACATTCTTCAATAAATTCGTTCTGTGAACGTGGCGATAGATAATGGGCTTGCATTTGGCTGTTGTTTTCCTGATGCTTTTTTACTTTTTCCAGATGTGACTTTAAAATGTGATTGTGACGACTAAGCAGTTCCAAGTTTCCGAGAAATAAACCATTATTTGGATTACCTAATTCAATTGTTGATCCGCAGAAGGGAAGGTTTCGCTCTGACAATAACAATACGTCTAATATGCATCGAAATAGTTCACGCCATCTTGATATTTCGCTTTGTAACTGCCGTTGAAGTTGCTGATCAATTCCAGTTTTTTATCTAGGCTTTTTTCAAGTTCTTTCCACGTAATATAATTTAACACATGCGACGACTATCGCTGATGAACATCAATTTTTTCATATAATTTTCTCCAGTTATCTTTATGTCCTGCATCAGGCCTTGTCAGCTGGGATTTTTCAGAGATGTTCTCTTTTTGTGATATTTCTTGGAAAAGACAACATGGGAAGCAAAAGAGACCTTGTTTTGATGCACTCCACACCAACCAATCTCTTTTTATCTTTTCGCTATTTGGCATTTCTTGACAAAAAATATTTTGAGGAAAGTTACGGCCAGAATTGTCTCTTGGGAAAATTTTCGGATTTTCTCGCGGGCCAATTTTAGTAATATACTCTGTGTTTTGTTTCGATCGATGTCCTCAACCTGAAGGATCGTTTGATAGTAAAGGTCTAAATGTTCTTTCAGCATCAGACGACCGTAATTCAGTTGCTTGTGTTGTCATAGTCTCAGCAGGGCTTACTCGAGCGGCCATTGCCTCGCCAGTGTCAGTAGTAGTAATGGTATTTGAATTCGTAGATGTATTATCTCCTTTTGACAATCATCTTGGTCTTCGTCATTACCAATTTCAACCTCTTGGGAGGATTCTTGATTTTTGTGTACCAATTTAGATCTTCTAGCGTCCTACGAGATTTTGCTTCATTTTGATCACGATCGAATTTGCTTTTGTTTACGCTTGGCTGCACCAGATTAATAAGAACGTGTGGACGCCATTTTGAAATATTGCCCAACAAAACACCGCCGCTGATCTACATATGTTTTGGACTATGCAATTAATTGCAGTATCTATACTCTATAGCCATTTAGTAATATTTATTTTAGTACATCTTTAAACTTTTGATTATAATTATTTGCTTCTACCTTAATCTATTTAAATGTATTTCTCCCTTCTTTATTTTGGGGCCCCCCTTAAGCCTGGGGCCTGGGCAAATTTCCCCCTTTGCCCCCCCCTAAAAGGCCCTGTATTTGTGATGTCACTATGAGTGTAGCCTACATCCACACCGGGAGAGCTTGAAAAAATCATATTACAAGATTACATTGGTATCGAAGGAACTAGATTCTGCTCGAACAGACCTGACCGGGTAGCTCAGTTGGCAGAGCATTGGGATAGTATTCGAAAGGTCGTAGGTTCGATTCCCACCGTAGCCTGGTATATTTTCAAGCTCTCCCGGAGTGGATATACACTCAGAATAACATCACAAACATAATAGTAATCCATGTTTTCAATGTTCTGCATTTGTTTGTTATTAAGTATATAGTTATGTGTTAAATGGTTTATGTTTTCAATTTTCAATTATGTTTCTAGCTGAAGAAAATATTTTTCTTGGATCACATCATCAAAACGCGTTGTCTCCGTGTTAATTGTTTAACTAACAAATATGGCTGGGCGATCAAAAAATAGATTCGCAAGAAAATGGAAAAATGAGGTGAGCCTAATCATGGTGTCTCTCGGATGCCATGTTACCACTGCATGATATACATATGTGATATGAAAAATACAAGGATGTAGGATGTAAAATACAAGGAGTAGCGGGGATGAAAAAAATTACACGAGCTTTTATACTAGTGAATATAAAAATTATTACGTGACAAAAAAGGCAAATAGATGGATTTAGTCGAGACAAAGTGTAAACAAAAAAATGTAAATCACACTACAGAATATATTAATACGAAAAAACGAAAACTACAACAAATACAAAAAACACAAAAAACATGCAACCTTATATTCCTTATGCCAACGACATCATTGTCCGAGCTATATTTTTGACAATATATATTGTAATGATTGCGACAGCGATACGTTTGTGTTCAGCTTTGTCGAGTTTTGAGTTGGTCTTACGCAAAAATATTTGCGTTTTTGTAAATTTCAAAAATTTGATAATATAGTACTTTCATTATCCTGAATCCGATTCTGGGTTTATTTCAAAATAGGTCGCAATCTTGTTGCTTGTACTCAAATTTGGATAAATTCCTTGGGTATTTAATTATTTCCCGTGGCAACGCCTTTAGCAACGGCTTTGTTTTCCGTTTTCCTCACAAATAAAATCGGTTTTATTTGGTTTCCATGCACATGAAGTATTTCTTCACAATTTCTAAATAACCGCTGGTAGTCCAGTTCGCTGTCTTGAATATCATAAAATGTTTATTTCAAAGTTTTTGAAGAAATATTTTATACTGTAGTCTGCACTTTTATTGTGATATATTGTCAGAAGTTATAAAAGAAACGCAAATATATGTATCACGGAAACCAGTTCAATAAACACGAAACTCTAGGAAGATGTTCTGTGTCTGGTTGATTATGTCAATGACAAAAGACGTAATTGGCTTAAATAAACAAAAGGAATATTGTTCTTGCTTCGTTCTTTAGAAAATCCATTTAACAGCTTATTCTTTTGTCATTATCATAATCAACCAATCACAGAACATCTTCCTAGAGCTTCGTGTCGACCCGACCAGTTTAGTGAGAAAAAAAAGAAATTGGGCGCTGTGCAACATGAAAATTCCGGCAGTAATGTTGGAGACTTGGAGTAACCGAGGGACAGACAGCATCAGCAAGAAAGGATCTCATCTGTCAAATTCTTGTGAAGAGAACTGTAGCCAGTCGTCTATATCTGACTATAAGATATTTAACATGGAAAAATTGGCTAATGTTTTACAACAAGTAGCTTGTAGTGGCTGTGGTGAGCAACTTTCCACATTCCTGAAAACTTTTCCGAAAGAAAAGGTTGCTCGGTTGCTCTTCACTATTACATCTACACTGCTCTTCATGTGGTTGGCAACACTCTTTCTACACTTCAGAGAAAATTTAAAATTATTATGAAGTAAACTGGAGAATTTTTTATGGGATGAGAACTATTAGCAAATGAGAGCAATTTTGTGGCTTTTCTGTAAAGCAATTTTGTGGCTTGATGAACATGCCTCCACTTCCCAAGTCTAAAGCCCATAGAAACAAAGCGAAAGGTACAAATGAGTATACAGAGTAGGTTTTCGACTCCCGAGACGGTGATAAAAAAGGTCAAGTTAATCTTTGCCCAGTTAAGTGAAGATATTTGCTTGATAAATGTCTTGACGGGAAGACTCAAAACCAGAATGAATTCCTGAATGGAGTTATTTGGGCTAATAGTCCAAAGTGTGTGTTTGTCGGGGAGTGACACACGGTGTTTAAAATGCTGTGGCGAATTTCAATATTGCTAACAAGCATTACTAAATATTTTGAAGAAAGCTGCAGGAATGGAGCTAGGGAGGTTCTGTACACAAGAGGTGCGATGTACAGCTTTTGTTAGAGTAAAGAAAGCTAACTAAAAAAACAAGGACGAGCTTAAAGTACGCAGGAAAATACTCCGGTCCGTCGGCGGAAGAAACGTATAGTGACAAAACCGAAGAAGAAAGAAAAAGTTACATATGCCCCAGGGTCATTTTGATCACTGAAACATTTCAACTTATTAAAACAATGTTACCACATATAGATAGCTGATTTTTGTCAAGGTCTTCATCAAAATGGAGGAAGAAACTAGTTTTGTAAACTTTACAATTTTTTCTCAATATTGCAAATTTGCCATGTTTGCGAAATTAAAACACAATGTCTCAAGTTGGAATTACCACTTTCTAATGAAACTTCTCCAGTTATTAGATATATGCTGCTGCTCCAGAATCTAGAGCTAAAATATACCTGATTTTGTACTTTGTGCCCTGATAGGCCAACTAGCCGTTTGATCAAGAGCCCCAGGCATTAATTTTCGTTTTTTGTCTTAATCTGGCCATTTGCTTATAGATGCAGGATATTTTTGGTCTACACCCTAGATAATTGTTATATTTACAATGCCAGACGGGTTTGTTGTTTTTTAAATGTTTAGATTTTCTTTAATTGTGTTTTTAAAATTGGCCATTTTACAGTCCCTGTGGATTCTGTTATCTCGTAACTATGGTAACTGATATATCCCAAAACTACATGTTTGTCAAAATTAAAACTCTGTTTGTCATTTCTTGCTATTGGACACAACAAAACAGCAATTAAAGAAAGAAATAACATTCTTTTGTATGACAACCTTAAAACGAGTGCTTGCGACTTATCACGTACAATTTTTAACAATACTGTATAAACGCAATTTCAATTCAATCGCGAATCATACTTGAGATAGATGTTCCCATACTTGAGATAGATGATTTATAAGTTTCTAGCACGAGTTTCTAATTGGAACTGCTTTTAATTATTCATTTACTTAATTCAATTAAACAGAATAACTGCAATATATACATGCAGTATAAGCCTAATTAGGTCAAAACTGATTTGTGGTCATATGATTTGTGGTCATATGACGTCAGATAAATGCAATGTATCCCGCCGGGCATCAAGTGAAAAATTGTTGCTCCCCCTCGACCTGCTACGTATACATAAATATATTAAATTAAACAAAATGGCGGCAGAACTAGCATAATTAGAAACTACGATTTTCCAAATTTGTCATGTGTTCAAGAGAAAGGAAAAATAAACAACAGGTACAGATAGATACAGATATTTCACAGCACACTCCCTATATTAGGGCTTTAGCAGGATATGCTGCTGCAACCATTTAATAAGTAGGTTTTTTAATTTTAAACTCGTTTACACTATAGAGTTTTTGTCACGAAATACACTTGCTGTATGAATGTTGTTGAATGTTGATTTTTGTTCGTCGCTATATAACAAAACGCTTAATTCTGTTCCCTCGGGAAATAGTTTTGTTTTCCCTCGAATCTCAATGTTTTCCTCGATTTCGTCTCCGGAAAGATTAAGACTCTCGGGAAAACAAAACAAATTATTTTGCTCTGGAGCAGACATTAAGTGTGTAATATCATAGTTAACTCGGTTTCTTTTGTTTCAACAGGGACGTTTAATCACGTATTTCCCTCATTACCCATGCATACGCTTTTGTCTTCTAAATTTCCCCTAGTTGAAAACAAAGGATTTCTTTGTCAAAACTTATAAAATATCCTTATTAATTAAAAATTAATATCATAAAATATGTACGTAATTTTATTCTAAGTTAATTTAAAACTCTAAGTCTATATAAAATAGATACTTAGCTTCTTAGTATAGTTGATATATTTTACATAAACGTTCCTGAAAATGTCACATTCCAAGATAAACTTGATTGCAAACCTTTGAACACGCCCAATGGCCGAATTTTTTAGTTCCCTTTTGTATCAAGTGAACAGACGAAGTTATTCTTTTGTATAGAGACCAAGTCATTATGGCAGTCTGCAGGATATCCGCTATTTGGATTACGAATTGGATGATTCCATGGTAATATGTCATATAATTAACAATTATTGCGCGTGCATGGTTGATAATTATTGCCCGTAACAATTACTGCCCGTGCATAGTATATGAAGAACCGTCAAAAACCTTTAATTTTTATACCGGGGAAAAAACAAATTTGTTATTCATTTTAAATACCTCGTACGTATAATATCGTTTTACATATTCCCAAAATTTATAATTATTCCTTTCTTCCAAATATTTGTCGTTATTCTCTTAATTTTTGCTTCGTATCCCAAAGTCTACAAGTCACACACAAGTAATTTGGCTATTGGTTGTAATATTTATTCCTATAGATGTAAGTTTTGTACGATACTTCGGCATAAGGCTTGCAATCACTTGAAACAGACTGGCTAAAATCACCACGTAAATGATTGGCTATACTACTCTAGTCGCTATCTATATTGCTCAATAAATAGGGAGTAGCAAAACAATTATTTTCCTGGCGCGTTTTTGTTAAAAATATTTTCCTGCTCGCGTTTTTATTGAATTATTTTGCGGAATATTTTATGTTTGTATGATCTCAGTTGCTACTAAAATAATTAGATTACTCGCTTTCGAAATCTCGAGTTCAATGTAATCTAATTGTTAAATAGTTTCCACCCATTGGCGCCAATAGTGCAATAATTTTCCTACTCATTACTATAGATGTTGTATCATTGATCGATAATAATCATATTATACACATATACAACTCCATATTTACATGCTCAGCTATTCAGTTGAAATGATGAATTAATTGTGCGCAGTTAGCAGGCGCAATTCAGAAATAGAGAATTATATTATTGTTATATAGCTATGGGATAAACACCAAACGTGATTGGCTGATTTGTGGTCATATGACGTCAGATAAATGCAATGTATCCCGCCGGGCATCAAGTGAAAAATTGTTGCTCCCCCTCGACCTGCTACGTATACATAAATATATTAAATTAAACAAAATGGCGGCAGAACTAGCATAATTAGAAACTACGATTTTCCAAATTTGTCATGTGTTCAAGAGAAAGGAAAAATAAACAACAGGTACAGATAGATACAGATATTTCACAGCACACTCCCTATATTAGGGCTTTAGCAGGATTTGCTGCTGCAACCATTTAATAAGTAGGTTTTTTAATTTTAAACTCGTTTACACTATAGAGTTTTTGTCACGAAATACACTTGCTGTATGAATGTTGTTGAATGTTGATTTTTGTTCGTCGCTATATAACAAAACGCTTAATTCTGTTCCCTCGGGAAATAGTTTTGTTTTCCCTCGAATCTCAATGTTTTCCTCGATTTCGTCTCCGGAAAGATTAAGACTCTCGGGAAAACAAAACAAATTATTTTGCTCTGGAGCAGACATTAAGTGTGTAATATCATAGTTAATTAACTCGGTTTCTTTTGTTTCAACAGGGACGTTTAATCACGTATTTCCCTCATTACCCATGCATACGCTTTTGTCTTCTAAATTTCCCCTAGTTGAAAACAAAGGATTTCTTAGTCTTCTAATTTTCCCCTGCATGCTTGATGAGGGAAATTTAGAAGACAAAAGCGTACCTCATTACCTGTGATTGGAGAGCTGTACCTCATCGAAAATCATCGGCACAACTATGGACAGTATCTGACGACACCGTCCCGTACGCGTTCGAACAATCACTTTGCCAGCTTTTATTCCCTAATCTTGAACATTTCGATTGTGAGAGAAAATTCCGTTTACGCGTATGCCTAAAACGCCAATGAATGCGGAGATGTGTTTCTGCGCGTGCGTATATAGCCTATGAAAAGTGTTCGTACCACAATCATAAGACAATCAAACAGCATTCAAAACAGGCAACACACCACGCGCGATTCCCTCGTTAACTATGGTATTTAACAAATATAAAACATTTTCCGTGTTGATATACAGTTATATCAACACGAGTGGAATTGGGAAAACGAGAAATTGTATGGAAACACGACGCCCGAAGGGCGGAGTGTTTTCATACAATTTCAAGTTTTCCCAACTTGCACGAGTGTTGATATAACTATATATCAATACGGAAAAATGTTTTATATTTTTTTTATAATATAGCAATGTCAAAAGCCCGAAGGATAAGAAAAAATTCCGTGTTTACAAGCGGCGGAAAATTCCCCGTGTTGACATCGAGTTATATCAACACGGCTCTTAGCCAATCAGCGTTCAGAATTTACAAACGCTATATTATCATACAAAGTAATAGTATGGCATTACGGTCGATTAGTGATGAAATGTCCCTCAAGCCTCGAGAGGTTTACCATGAGTAAACTATATAACACTTACATATGAGATGCCAACCGACGAGATGAGTACGACCCACTGGGTCGGACCCTGTATGTTATATCAACAACTTATATATAGGTGCATGGGAATGAATGGTACACAATATAGTTTAACCACTAATTTTATATTATTTTAAAATTATAGCCAGAAGTGATTCCGATTATTAATTTTTGGTTATTACACTGTAACAACTGATAGGTTAAAATAACAAAAAAAGGTTATTTGGATTTGTCTAGGACACCCGAAAAAATACCGTACATACATGCATTTCCAATACTAAAGCAAATGTCCAATGGACATGTGAAATGTCTATTGGACATATAACTATGCGTCTTCACATATGAATGCTTATGTCATATCTGTTTCGTTGTACATTCAAAGTATCACACAAATCGGTAATGTCTTGTTGTTCTGTATATTAAAACTTAAACTGTTAATATATGTCCCGTGCGCATAATGACACCGAGACTCTCAGTGTCATTATGCGCACGGGACATATGTCTGAGACTGCACAAGATTACTAATGATTACTGTTCGTGCATGAACATGAGAAATGTCATATGAAATGTCCGTAATTCAAATATATATTTGCTTCGTTTTAAAATTATATAAAATGTCCATTGGACATGCAATATGTCGATTGGACATGCTGCTGGGAATCGCTAGAAAATTAATGAATTTATTAGCGATTCCCAGCATTCTTTCGCGTTCGTATTCGACTTTTTCGCTTTGCTCGGGGACAACCTTAATTGAAACAGCTGTATGCCGACCAAGGAATATATCATGTCTATTAATTGAATATACATGTCAATGCTTCGGTGTTATATTAAATTAAAACTGACTTTAGCCTATGACTTTTAAATATGTTTGATGCGAAACCAGGATTATTCATATTGAGTATAGCCGTTCACGGGTAAAAATATTTATTTTTTACAAGCTTTCGACTGTCAGTCTTCAACGGGTAGATTATAATGAAAGTGATGCGAGGTTTACAATTACATATACGGTATACACAATGACGTAAATGACAGCTATACAAGATTATAGTGGCTATGTTACATGGGAATGATTAATGTTTATTGATAAGAAATCGATACTGTTCCGGTAAATGTTTTGAGTTGTTATCTGAACCCTTTGTGCATGCTGTGTGCCATGACTCGAGTGTTTGTCTGTGCCGATACGTGCCTTTGTCAATAATTTTCCCGCCATCAAAATCTATTTTGTCTTTGGGCGAAGGGAATAGTTGCTGTAGCGTGCGGAGAGGTTTCGTTGCTACTCGGATGTCATGGGGTTTCAAGATTCGTTCAAGTGTTTCTGTCAGGCCTTTAATATAGGGAAGTACGGCATAACGGTAGCTGGTTTCTGGCTCTACAAGGTTGAAAAATTCCTTAACTGGTTCCTCAGGTGGACGTACTTTTTCCTGCATCATAACTCGTTTCTTTTCGAATTCTTGTAAGAATTACTGGGGGTATCCATTTAATAGTAAGGTCTCAATAAGACTTTCTAACTTTTATAATTATGCGTCTTTAACATACGAATTCTTATATCATATTTGTTTTGTTCTACATTGAAAGTATGTCACACATGTCGCCAATGCTTCGTTCTACATTAAAACTAAAATTATATATATCCCGCGCGCATAATCACATAGGCTGCATATAAAATTACTGGACCCTTCACTCAATGTAGATAATACGGTTTGGATGAATTGCTAAAGACAATCACAAGTGCTTCATAATAAAAAGTTATTAACCGAGAGCGAAGTCTGTACGGGAAAGTATTTGCCTGAGGTTTTCGTACAGACCAAGCGACGAAGGAGCAAGGTTTGTGCGGATAAACCGAAGGCAAATCAGTACCTTTTTTAACTATATATCTGGGAGGGCAATTGCCCCCCCCCCACAGGGAAAGGATCCCCCCCCCCACCCAGTAAAGTCATTTCTGCCCACGAAGTGCGAAGCAGAATTGCTCATGATTGCTGTCAGAATTGCAGTTGATTTACTTGATAATGAGATTATGCCCTTCCATAGCCTCCTCCACAGCCATCTTGTGTGTAATTTATATTGTTCTTCACCGAGTATTTCATAACAGCGATAGATTTCATGCAAACAATCCGATAAAATGCTAGCCTTTCCAAGCCCTGCGACTATTTCTTAGCACTCTCCTCCGCAGAGGCGTTGTGTTTTTTGGGAGGTTTTATTGCAAATTTTTTTCTTAAAAATATCAAGTTATATTAAGAACCCCCCTCCCAATCGCCACAAAAACCATTCTCCCAGGAAGGCTAAATCCGTAGAGAAATGGGGGGGGGGGGTACACGTTACATGTTCGAAGCTGAAACTGATTTAAAAGTACGTCTCGACTGAGGTAAAGACGATATACTGGAGGAACTTGATTTGTGAAATCTCGTTAAAGCAGTTGTATATATGGTTCCAAGAAGAATAAATTTAGTTTAGATTTTTAACTGTTAAATACATATATGCATCATCACAGCATGAATATTTCTTCTCAGACTTATTCTGTATCGTATGAAAAAGCAACGCAATTTTGAGAATGCGGAAATGTTGTCTCATAGAACCTAAAATGATTTAAATGCGACATTTCTGATCAAAATCACATTGGAATTCCCCCCCCCCCTCCCCCAGCATCACAGAGAGGAAATAAGGTGACACTGACCCTTCCTATTTTTCAAGGTGACTTTTCCAATTTATTTATAATTCCGAGTAGAAATGTCTGGAAAAATTCATGTCCTCGATGTACTTTATAATCCTCGGAATTCTGCTAGATTTCACCCCCATAATGCATGAAATCGCAATTCAGGGATCCTAGATTTCAAAATTTTCCGGACCCCGGACCCTCCTAAAAGGTCTCTCACGCCTTCGTCGTGAAGTTCGCCCCCCCCCACGCAAAATTAAGGTTTGTCTCCGCCACTGGTTATAGCTGAACGATTATAGCTACAAAGAGTTGAGTTATTGTTTAAAGTAAAATATAGCTGAAGTTAATAAATTAAAGTTTTACAAAATCTCTCTTCAGACTCGCGCGTTCGCCAAACCTCGACAGCTCATATTTTTCGTTCTGCCTTTTCTTCCTGTTTTGCCCCCCCCCCAGTGAAAATTCCTTAAAAAAGGCACTGAGGCAAATACTTTCCCGTACAGGTAGAGCAAAAGGAGGTTAATAAACCATTTATTATATGGCTCCTTAAACACACTTTCTGATTTTCATATATTTGTTTGGGCGCTATAAAGGTATTTTTGAGCTATGTTTTATTTGCTAGTTTTTTTTCGTTTAGATTTGGTTCCGACACCGAATATTGTTTACAGAAAGCATGTTTAAGAATCGCTTTAGAACTACTTTTTGGTACCCCACCTCCAGAAAAATGCTTATAAACCCAGTTTATATGATATTTGTTTGGAATATGGTATTAAAGACGTTAAATTCATCTTTATTTATTTTTTGAAACAAGTAAACAAATCAAAAAATTTTCCCGCCAAAACTTACGGTTTCCATTATGAGTTCAAACGGCTTGTTTTCTTAGCTTTTTCAATGAAATTTGTGTTGGTATAAGTACTTATTAATATTTGCAAAACTTCTTATTTTTAAAGATGATCCAAGGATACTTTTTCTTTCCGTAACGACCTTATAAACGTGTAAAACGTTTCAAATTCGAGCCTGTCAAATTGACATACGGGAAACTGGTCCGGATACGGGAAAATACGAACCACGGTCCGGATACGCATTCTACAGACCGCACGTCGACCAATCAGAATCCAAGATTCTGCAAAGCCATATAATAATACAGTTTATTATCCTTCTATTATAATTCTGTTAATTATTTAATTAAAATAATTAATAATAATTAGTAATAATTAATAATAATTATAATTAAATATTATTACTATAATTTAAAGTGATAATAATAATAATTTAATCGTATTTCAACAGGTTGATTGATTGATAGATTGATAGGGATTTATTAACACATCCCAAAAGGGCTTTTCAGTGATAATTTACAAATACATGTCCTAAAATGTTTAATACAGGTAAAACACTAATTAAATACGTCTCTATATAAATCTATAAAATTGGCGTGATAAAACTGATAACTAAGCTGAAGTAAATCTTTGAAATAACACGTTCTTAAGTTTATTTTTAAAAGTTCAAATGTTTTCGCATAGTTTTACAGATTCATCGATAGTGTTCCATATCGTACATGCACGATATATAAATGTGTGTTGTCCAGAAGTTGTCCTAAACTTTGGCGTGCGTAAATCGCCATCATTACGTAAATTGTAATGACGCTTTCTCCGTTGACAGGACGTTATTTTTGAACATAAGTAAGTTGAAGTCAGATTATTAATACATTTATATGTCATCACCGCTTCACGGAAATATTACATATCCTTTACAGGAATCCATTTTAATAATTAAACGTTTTAAAGCAGGCGTTACATGTTCAAACTTTCTTGTTTTTGTAACAATTCGCGCTGCGTAATTTTGAACGTGCTGGAGTTTTGTTATGTTCTTATTGGACGTGTTCCACCACATTGTGGAACAGTAAAAACGTTTACTGAAAACCAGTGGCTGAATTATATAAACCAACGTTTTTTGGTCGAAAAGATGCTTTACTCTACTTATCTGTTTTAATGCCAAGTTACACGAAGATACAACTTTGCTGATATGCTCATCATAGGAAAGATTTTCGTCGAGCTTGATTTCCAAATCTTTAAAACATTTTGTTGGACGTAGGGTCTTTCCAAGGAACGACAGTTGAAGATCGACTGGCCTTTGTTGCAGTAGTTGACGAGTAGCAAACAGTATGAACTGAGTTTTCTCCGGATTAATGAGCAGCTGGTTAGAGCAACACCAGCCTGCTACCCTCTTAAGGTCGTTTGTAAGGAGGTTCAAGCCATCCGCGAGATCAGCAACTTTAAGTGCTGCATAGAGTTTCGTATCATCAACAAAAGAGTCAATCTCGGATCCAGTGCAGGCATTGGGAAGGTCATAGATATATAAATTGAACAATAGTGGTCCCAAGATGGAGCCCTGCGGCACACCATGGGTCACGGTCCTGGAAGATGAGAGGGTTTTGCCAATTCGATCGGACTTGTTGCTTGCGTTGAAAAAGGTAACTTGCAAACCAACGTAAGGCATTCGGTGAAACACCAAAGTTTTGCAATTTCTTCAACAATAACGAATGGCTTATATACTGTCGAATGCTTTGGTGAAATCAAGTAGGACCATTGCAGTTATTTGTTTTCTGTCCATGCAAGGCCCAATGTTTCGGTTGAATGTTGTTTTCTATTTCCACTTTGGTTTGTTGGGAATCTTTCGTTTTGGATAAGATAATTTGTAAGTTGATTATGAACTACTCGCTCGCAAACTTTAGATAAAACAGGCAACAAGGAAATTGGGCGATTATTCTCGGCTTCTTCATAATCATCATTCTTTTGAATAGGAGTAATCTCAGATATTTTCCATTGGCTGGGAAATATTCCTTTGAGAAAGTTTGAATTTATTATTGACGTTATCGGTTGAACAACAGAAGATAAACAATCCTTGAGAACTCTTAAATGGACTGTATCGTTTCCAGGAACTTTATTGGAGGGCATCATGGTGATAATGTCACTCACTTCTTCTGTTGTCACTTGTCTGAGTTGAAACATATTGTCATCCACTGTCGCTGTAGTCAAAACCAAAATTTCAATAACGGATGGCAATTCAAATTTCTGTGCTATATCTTTAGCTAATTTAGCACTCTTCATTCCCACGGTTGTAAAGAAGTCGTTGAATTCTTCCACAACTACAGTGGCATCTTTGGTGTATGTGGGTCTATTAGAATCTCCAGATGGCAAACATTGACGTTTTCCAAATGCAGTTACTATCTCCTTTACTTGATTTTATTTGTTCTTGGATATATGCAATCTCTGCTTCTCTTAGTCGTTGCTTTGTTATTCTTCTCTTTTCTTTAAACTCGGACCAATCCCTTTCAACACCAGATCTTTTCGCTTTTCTATGACTTTGGTCACGCGCGATCATCAAGTCTTTAATTTCCGAAGTCATAAAGGGAATTGGTTTCGCAGAGACTTTGACGGTTCTTAATGGAGCGTGGAGGTCTAATACTGACGACAATAAACTGTTAATATAATAATAATAATAATTTATTAGCTTATATTGCGCATTTATCAACCATACAATTTTCAAATGCGCATTACAGAAGTTAAGAATTTTACAAATATATTACACAAAGAAACGTTCCAAGCTAATCAAAAGCTTGACGAAATAAAAACGTCTTAACTAATTGTTTAAAATTATTTACAGAGCTACAATTTCTAATAGAGTACGGTAGACTGTTCCACAATGCTGGGGCAGCCATACAGAATGCTCTATCTCCCAAAGTCTTAAATGACTTGAGGGACGGAGTGCCAAGTAATAAAGTATTGCTAGAACGAAGACTGTATCTATTAGATTTCTTAAGACTAATAAGGTTACTTAGATACTGTGGAGCCATTCCATGAATGGCTTTAAACGTAAGTAAAAGTACTTTAAAGTCAATACGATATTTGACGGGTAGCCAATGTAAGTTCTTCAAGAGAGGTGTAATTCGACAATACTTCGATTCCTGAAATATTAGACGTGCAGCAGCATTTTGAACTTTTTGTAACTTAGCCAGCTGACAATTGGGTAGTCCATACAACAAACTGTTGCAATAGTCCAAACGACTTGATATGAATGAATGTATTAATGTCTCAGTCAATTCTCTGGTAAGATATTTTCTGATACGTCTTATGTTATATAAGAAATAAAACCCAGAGGAACTAGTTCTTAAAATGTGTGTACTCATGGTGAGGTTATAGTCCATCCATACCCCGAGATTTTTGGTAACAGGTTAAGGAGCAATATCAGTGGTTCCAGCTGTAATGTGATCGAGGTTAACCTTGGCGAGTTGTTGTTTAGTTCCGATAAGGAGGAACTCGGTCTTTTCATCATTCAAAAGCAACTTGTCTTCACTCATCCATTTCCTAATGTCTTCAATGCATCGTTCCATTGCTATGACAGCATCCGATTGCTCAGATTCGACTTTAGGTCTAAATGCAACATACAACTGCGAATCATCGGCATAGCAATGGACGTCTGGTAAGTGCCTCTGAACGACATCAAACAGTTTACTCACATAAATTGTAAACAATAGAGGTCCTAAACAAGATCCCTGAGGAACACCATAGGCCACATCAAACCTATCAGAGACAGTACCACGAACAGTGACAAGCTGAGATCTCCCGCATAGGTATGACTAGAACCAACTGATTGCTGTACCGGAAAACCCTAGTTTAGATGATAAACGCTCTATCATAATACCGTGATCTACTGTATCAAAGGCCGCACTCATGTCCAGAAAAGCAAGGAGTGAAACATGTTGTTTGTTCATGTTCATCAGTGAGTCATTTTTCACCTTCAGCAGCGCAGTTTCAGTGCTGTGGTTTTTCCGATATGATGACTGTCCTGGTGGATACAAATCATGATCTACCATATGAACATGCATCTATTCAAACACAGCTCTCTCTGCAAGTTTAGACATAAATGGTAGATTGGATATCGGTCTAAAATTCTTGAAAATGGCTTCCAAACCCAGCTTTTTTAGGAGTAGATGGACAAGTGCCTCTTTCCATAACTGTGGAAACTGTCCAGTTTGTAAAGAGAGGTTGATAATTCGTGTTATGATGGGAAACAATGCATCACACTGGGAAACCAACTTTGATGGCAGTGGATCTAAATTACAGGTCTTCAATGTAGCACGATCAATTAGAGTTTTTACATCAAGTTCAGTAAGGGCACTAAACTCCGAAAACTTTGGCACGGACTCCTCGACGGCATGTGGAACAGAAGTATTCTGCAAATCTCTAGATGAGGCATGCATCTTGTTATTATCTAGTTTGTCCGTATGTTTTCAATCTTTTGTACAAAATACTTTCCAATGTCACTAACAAAAGCTTCACAGTTTAAATTAGGACGAAGACCATCATCATGATGTTGACCAAACAGGCGTTTACTTGCATTAAACAATTTTCTCTGATCACCACTGTTCTCCTCAATGAAACTCGTATAATATTCTGTACGCGCTTTACACATGAGTCTGTTAACTAAGTTTCGTTTGCCTTTGAAATTAACAAAGTCTACATCTGACTTAGACACTCTCCATTTCCTCTCTGCATTCCGTCTTTCACGCTTTGCTTTCCTAAGCTGTTCATTAAAGGTTTCCACTTTTTCTTCAGTATTATGAAATATATCCAAAATATGCCAAGGTAATTTACCGATATCTTCCGCAAATCGTGAGCTATTATAGTTTTTATAGCTGCGCACCTGGATGTAGGACTTGCTTTGTTTAGGTTTTCTCAAATTAAGGTTCACCTGTATAAGGTAATGATCACTTATAGTTAAGTCAAGTGTACCACTTTCTTTAACCATACTAGGATTTGACAGGATGATGACGTCAATTAACGTTTTACTATTCCCAGTTACACGCGTCGGTTTGTCTATGACTTGTTTCAAGTTATAATTATAACACAGAATTCATCCAAAGCTGTAGAATGACGATCGTTTTTGAGCATGTCACTGTTGAGGTCTCCAAGGAGTAATACGTCCTTATTTAGAGTTAAAACATAATTCATAATCGGTGATAGATGATTACTTAAGCAGGATATGGGGCAATCTGGTGGTCTATATACCACTCCAATAACCAATGATCGTAGTTTGCGTTGTTGACGTTGAATCCACAATTGGTGAAAGTTGTCAGGTGAAATACTGCTTAAGTCTTTACGCGGTGTAAGTTTAAGTCCATTCCTAGTATATACACAAACCCCACCCCCTCCCTTTGTAAGGCGATCAAGTCTATAGAGGCTGTAACCTAGGATGCGAATACTAGCGTTGGAGTTGGAGGAATTCAACCAAGTCTCTGAAAGGGATAAAATGTCAAAGTCTTGTGAATAAACAAAGTGTCTAAGTTCTGCATAATGTTGTCTATTGAGAGACTGGATATTGAGATAGGCAATGTTCAGATGTTTTTTTACCTTCGAACATAGGCTAGTTTGGCTTGAATCAGTGTGTTGCTGGTTGGAAAGTTGATAATTAATTGGAATATTTACCAATTGCGTATGTATTATCAAATCTGCAGGAGGACGATTCGAGCGAGGCCCCGATTGCCGAGTTCCAGAAATCAAGGGAATTGTATGTCTTTGTGGGTTATTAGTATTACACTCCTGGGTAGTTGGACCGGGATTAAGTTCTATATGTCCACTGGTAAGAAGAATATTGAACATAGCGTTTGCATTAGGATAGTATACGTAGGAAAACCTATTATGCGGGATCTCCTTTTGTAAAATGAAGTTTGAACACAATACGCTCGACGTCGTCGCGGTTGAATAAAGAACACATACTTTATGCAAATTTCAGTACTGTTTATCGACCACGAACAGCAAACAAAATCCTTGCTTTTAAACGAAAATCTTGACGCAATACATTATTGTCGCTCAGTTTAACATTGGGCCAAACTAACCGTTCACTTGTCGCCAATCTATCGTACTGAAGCTCGCTGCGATCCATAGTCAAGCACCAAAGTCGGGTTTCGTATCCATACTCACTCACGTTCAAAGCCAGACACAACCTCACATGTTCGACTAGTTTGCCCTGATTTCCTGACGAACAATTCTGCCATGGGTTACATTTAAATCTTGTATATGTAAAGTCGTTAATTTAATTAATCTGTGTTCGGTCATAGGTTTATGACCGAACACAGATTAATTTCATTAATTTCTAATTTCATTAATCAGGTCAACTTGTTTCAGTATATGAATTGACACTGTTATCAATCAAGGACCTGCGTTTATGTTAATTACATACACTATACAACTTAGTACAATAAAATCAATACTGTATTAACATACAGTATCAATTCATGTTTTAAATCCTCTAGCGAACTTTTATTTCACACAATCATTCCATTGTAATCTTAAACACAAAGATCAATCAAATTGAGTTTAGTTTTGTACTGAAGAATAGAGGTCTCAGTTTTTATATCGTTGGGTAGGCTGTTAAAATTTTTTTCTTCTAGATTCACTTCCGACCCTCGGTAAAACTAAGTTCTTGTTGTTTCCTCGAGTACTTTTTGTGTGACATGTTCTTGTAAAATAATCCTTGTAAACCGATGGCGCCAATCCGTTCATGCATTTAAAAACATCCACAGCACAATTTTTATTACGAATTTGTTGAACTGTGGGTAACTGTACGGAGTTACTTTGTCAGTTCACAATTCTCAAAGCTCTATGGTAGCCTAAGAGTGCTATTGACAATTTTGAAATTATTTTTACTATTTGCAAAGTTTTTCATTTTTTAAAATAAAATAATGAAAATTAAAAATAAAAAACAAAAATAAAAAATAAATAAAAATAAAAATGAATAATAAAAATAAATAATAAAAAAAATAAAAGAAAAGTAAATTTATTTTTCAAGAAAAAAACAATGCGAATGAATTAGTTATGAAAATATTTCAAAAACAAAAGCATATATTGAAAATGCCCCATAGCCTAGAAGTGCCACAGTATACCATGATGCTCAGCGCGCGTCATGAAAAAGTGAAAGTGGAAGCACCGTTCCCACCATGATTTCACTGGTAGTTAGAAATGGCCGCCGTGTGGAAAAATTATAAAGCGAAAATGGCAAAGAAACGTTGCAAAACAACGAAAGAAGATCGCCCAAACTCTGTCGAAGAATTGGTTGTGCAACGCTTAAGTTCGAGCGTGTCTGGAAAAGCGCAAAAATACACCCGTGTCGGGGCAAGGGAGTTTGTAGCATTTGCCTATGACGAAGTAAACGTAACAAACATCAAGAAAGCTTGCGAAGAACATTATGGCAGTTCAATCGGTGATGACATGGAAATAGACGTGTTAGCAGGGAACAAGGACCATCCTGTCAGTCTATGAAGCATATAAAAGATTTACGATTAATTTACGTCCGATTCATCAAGCGCGAAACGTTGCCGTTGGATAATAGCGAAGCTAGCACAAGTGTGACCAATTACAAGGACAGCGATTTTGCCGACAGAGTGCTTCCTAGAAGAAAAAAAGAGAGATTTCATTTCAGATTCGTGTAAAAAAAACAAGACAGATTTCATTTCAGATTCGTGTATCGATGATCGAGAACGGCATTTACGTGGCAAAAACGATCTCGCACCTCCTAAGGAGGGAATGTATCTGTTTATCCGAAAAGCCTTTCCATAGCTGACATGTTGAAGCTGGGAAGGGTTGTAAAAGAGTCGCCAGCAACGGTTATTGAAGTTTCAACCTTTTCTACATCCAGTATGTCATGGTCCAAGGTGAAACAGAGCGCAGAATTCGTCATCGAGAAAAAGTTATTGCGTCAAGAGTAGTAATATAGGGGCCGATCGGGCCGGATTTTTGCGGCGGTGGTGGTGGTGGTGGTGTGTGGTGGTGGTG